GCTGATTTCATTTGAATGTCTCTGGTGGAAAGCCATACCTTGTGTCCAGGGCGGTAGGCTGGGGCAGGTGCTCATCTCCGGTCAGCATAGCGCCGATTCTGTTCAGCAGTTTGATGAAGGGCTCTCCTAGTCTGTTCCCAAATACGCTTGCAGCGTCGAAGATGATGTTGAACTGATGTAATAGAAGTCTGGTCTTCTTCTGATGGAAGAAGGGGGGCTGGTAACCCAGCGACACCTGTAGCAGAAGATACATGACTGTTGTGAGAGTACTCAATCCAAGGCAAATGAGAACTCCAGGCAGTTGGATTAGACAAACAAAGACAACGAAGGGCAGCCTACACTTCCTGATTTAGACGTTCTGTCTGGCCATTAATCTGTGGGTGGAAACCAGAGCTGAGTAAAACTTTAGCTCCTAAAGCCGTGCAAAACTCTCTCCAAACCCTTGAAGTAAACTGGGGTCCCCTATCTGAGAGAATCTCCTTAGGGATGCCATGTAACCTGAACACATGTTTTATGAGAAGCTGAGCTGTTTGAAGTGAAGACGGGAGTTTCTTTAATGGAATAAGGTGGCAGGTTTTAGAGAATCTGTCAATGATAGCTAGAATGGTGGTGAACCCACTGGAGACTGGTAACCCGGTAACTAAATCTAGAGCTATGTGAGACCATGGGCGCTCAGGTATTGGTAGGGGTTGAAGAAGCCCACTAGGGTGCTGATTGGATGATTTGGCACAGACATGACAAGCAAGGACAAAATCCCTAACATCCCGGTTCAAAGACGGCAACCAAAATGTATGTCTCAAAAGACTTATGGTTCTGCCAACTCCTGGATGACAGGAGAACTTGGCTGTGTGTGCCCAGTGAATAACATGGGAGCAGCTGTCTGACTGTAGTTCTTAATGAACCGCCGGTAAAAGTTTGAAAACCCCAGAAAACGTTGAAGATGTTTCCTTGTGGTGGGGACCGGCCAATCCAAAACTGCTTGAACCTTGTGAGGATCAGCCTTCACCTGCCCGCTCTCTAGTATAAACCCCAGGAAGGAAATTGAGGAAACATGAAACACACATTTCTCTGCTTTGGCAAAAACTCTGTTCTCCATCAAACGTTGCAAAACCAGACGGATATGAGCTTTATGCTCCTCTGATGTCTTAGAAAAAATCAGAATGTCGTCAATGTAGACGAAAACAAAGTCATTGATGAAGTCCCTAAGAACATCATTGACCAGTGACTGGAAAACTGCTGGGGCATTGGTAAGGCCAAAAGGCATACCTAAATATTCAAAATGACCCAAAGGTGTCTTGAAGGCTGTCTTCCATTCATTACCTTCACGTATTCTAACTAGATGGTAGGCGTTACGGAGGTCTAGTTTGGTGAAGATCTTGGAACCCTGGACTGGCTCGAAAGCTGAGGTTAGAAGAGGGAGAGGATATTTGTTCTTAATTGTAATTTGATTGAGTCCCTGCATGGGCTCTTCTGGGGACATTGTAGTGGTGGATGGATCTGAGTGGAACCTGGCAAAGGCTGGCTGGGGAGAGGGTACCCCCCTAAATCTTTTCTCACGGGACCGCTCTCTTATCCGGTTATCAACACGGACAGCTGAAGAAATGAATTCCTCCAGCTCCTCTGGTTCATCCTGATAAGCAAGCTCATCCTTTAAATGTTCATTGAGGGCCTGCCGGAAAGCTCCCTTAAGAGCTGGCTGGTTCCATCCTGAGGCTGCAGCTAAGGTCAGAAAATCTATGGCAACATATGCCACTGATTGTCTCCCCTGTTTGATACTCCACAGCTTTCTAGTGACATCAGCCTCAGAGTCAGCATAACCAAA